AGCAAATAGATATGTATAATTTATCATGCTCTTCTTTTTGCTTTCATGTTCTTGAAGGCAGCATCAATGTCCTTATATTCAGAAATTTTAAAGTCTTTGAGGACACTATCCAGTGTGACTGGCCCAAAAAAAATTGAGCTCTTGTGCACAACATCAAAGTCATCCTGCCGTGCCCAGTTGAAAAGTGCCTCTCCTTCAAGGGATGCCTGATGAAAGAATTTATGCTCCAAAATCCAGGTTTTGTCATTGCAATTGTTCGGCCAATGTAGAACCTATCAATGTAGTCCACAGCGAAGTAGTGTTCAGCTTGAATAGGTCCCACTCCTAATGTGTCTGAGATGGCCTTGCTGCTGCTTGACTGATGGTTTGTTGCTGTTGACTTGTTGAAGATCACAACATTTTCAAACACTATGCTCTCCAGGTACTCCTGAAAGTAGGGAGTTATGATAGACTTGTCCAACTCATTGACTGAATGTCTTCGAAAAAAATGTGCATTTCTGATGTTTGGAATGTTTTTTGGTTCATCCTTGTCCCAAATCTCTTGAAATTCCATTTCAACTTCTTCAACATCCTCTTTGGGAGTGAAGATCACTTTAATGTTTGGACATGCCCTCTCTGCAACATTAGCAAAATCCCTAGCAGTGTTGACTAGTACCTGTCTCTGAAGCATTCTTCGCAACACTGCTCTTTTCACTGTCCCACCTACACCATCCACACTCCCTTTCCCATGTGCTGTACCAAAAAAGCTCCAGTCCACATTTTTCAGTTTGCTGTAAATCAGTTTTGGATCTGTCGATGTGGATAGAGTGAACCTGTTTTTGAACTGATTGCCAGCACCATCTGTAAAAATGTGGAGGGTTTCAATATCTGCTGGTCCGGAAGCTAAGATGGCTCTGTTGAATGCTGCTACTGAGAATTTGTCATGTTGGAGTGCATCACTGATAACAACAAATGATGCTACACCCTTTTCTGTATTCATCACTGCTGTATAAATGGTGACACTGTTTGAGACCCAGTGTGCTGCCATTATTTCATCCTGTTGCTTTATCTGGAAGTTTCTCAAAAGTCAGTGTGCAGAATACCTTCCTTTCTCTTCAGATTTTCCTTCAAAGCTTTGATTTGGCTCAGCTGTATCTTTGAAATGAAACAGTGGTGCCTCATGGTACAAAGTTGCCCAAAGAACTCTGCTTTTGCTCCTTCTAGAGTGTTCTGAACTTGGATTTTTTTGTTTTCTTTCCATTGAATGTAACAACAAGGGCTTGAGATAGTTGACAGTAAGATCTTCTTCTGCACACGAAATTTTTGTCCATCTTTCTTCACAGTTACAAAATCCTTTCTCTTAGGAGATTACCTTGCAGCAGTTTCACTTTGAAAAACTCTTCCACGATCTTATCAACTTCTGAAAGTGTTCGTTGTTTGCCCTTCTCAATTTGTTTAACAAAGGTGTCTGACAGTTTCTTGACTACTGCTGCTTTCTTCTTTGGGCTTCTTGGAAGAGAACACGCAGCCTTTTTTATTGCCTTTGCTAGAGATTGCCGGCCACCAAAAGTAGTGTACTCATTTGCTAGGGCTCTGTCCTGGTTACCGCTGTTCAAGTTGGAGGCCTTGGCTTGTCTTGATTTTTTTACTCTTTCCTTGCTCCTTTCATTTTCTTGAATTCTTCTTTTCTCAGTCCATTGAGCTCTGCGTGTTCTTTGTTGCTCTTTATTTGTTTCCCTCATCTGCTGACGTTTAGCATCACTTATACGAGCCCGGTAGTCTCTCATTTTCTCTGTTGGGGACTTCGGCATTCTGAAAAAAGAATTGAAAAATTGTTGACATAAGACATTTATCTAAAGTTTGGTTGAGCTTCAAGATACATTCACATAATTCATCATTAAAGATCCAACATCAATGAAACTGAAATCAAACAAGAAACAGGTTGAAAAAATTATGGGTTTGGTCAGGCGAAACAATGAAAAAGATTTCATTATTTTTTTTTCAAACCACATTAATATAATGAAACTATCAATACAGTATCAATTCAGAGCATCCAGGTTTCTACATAGAAATACATCAAAAACTTCAGACTGTGCCATCATTTACCTGGATATGTTACGTCAGTTACTGTAGGTCACATGCCATAACTGTTACATAAGTTACCATAAAAACTGTTAATTATGAAGCTCAAATAAAGTTCTTTGCATGTTGCCTTTCCCATCTCCCCATATACTAAGAACACAGGGGGTATCATTTTTCTTTGAGCTTTTTTAAAGAAGCAGCACATCTTTTATCATTTTCTTGGTAACTGGCGTAACAAAGCTCTGAGTAGCATGAAATAGGCTAACAAAAATTTGTGATCAAACCAAAGTTTAATTTTTTTACCAAAATAAAAACAAAGATTTGCTCTTACTAAGAATGCACTTAAACTTACTTTTGGCATTTTCCTTCAGCAGTACAAGTCTTTAAATCTCCTTTTCAATCTGGGGTACTGACCACATGGCTGACCACTAACTTTCAAAATGGCCTTCAGTCATGTGACATGCAGCCAGCAGAAAAAAATGTCCTACACCAATAGCGTTGTAACATCATTATTTTCAACATAACTGGAAAAAATTTTCCGCAAAGCTAGTAGCTTGAGACCGGTAGTATTTGTTGCAAATACTAGAAAACTTTAAATTTGCTTGTGGCCACAAGGCATTCGAAATGCTATTTGCTATGTTGCGACAATTGACAACTGGAACACATTCAAAACTGCCAGACGTTACCTCCATTCCAGCAACTAGAACAGCTATCATTGCCAAAAGTATCGCTAAATAATCTTTTATAACCTCCCAGACAGATTTCAAAATCTTAAAATTTTCCTTCCCTTCTTCCTGAAATATTCCATGGACATCATCGTGATTAATTGATAAAATTAATAAAGATGGATTTTCAATTTTAAGGTAGCGTTCAGTATTTTGTCTGCTCACAGGAATATAATTATTTAAAATAAACAAATTCTATTTGTTAGTTGTAATTGCTAAAGTAATTTTAAATTCACTTCCTCTCCAGACAAGCAAATTCTATTTCACACTTGCCATTTAATTAAAACATCAAGACTTGCCACAGAGACACTGTAATAAAATCATATAGCTATACATCCGTTATATATTTACTTGTATCGCGATACTCGTTGACAGGACAATTCAGAAATGTGAATTATAAAATAAAAATAATATAACGTGTTTGGTGATTTGTTGTCACTGCCTCTAAATTTTTTTGTCGAATTATTTAGGTTATGAGGACACATGATATCTCGAAATATTAGGCCCAAGAAATGTAAAATTCGTTAGTAATTAATTTTGAATTAGAAAAAGTGAAGTGTGCAAAGAAGGAACATGGTGATGTCGTTCGATCGCATTTTTGAAATAAGAAAAGCGACAGAGCGTTCAACATTCGATTCGAATACATGCACCCAGAAGGTTATGTCGAAGCATGTTCTTAAAAACGGGCTAATGATCGTTGCAAGGAAGTCAAAATTGTATTCAAATCCATTGGCATGATGGTAGCGAAGGCAAAGATGCCATGGTCATTGGCCAGCTGTTGATTGCAATATGGAAAATAAGGCATCGAAATTTGAATTTGGTTTGCAAAGATGTACTTGAAATTATGCAATTCAAATTATTACATTGCTCAATATCTAAATTCTAAAAAAAGAGGGTATTTAAGAGATTCCTAATTTGAAAACAATTATGTGAAGGATTCTTCCATGACTTCTTCAGAACTACTTGCACCTTTGGTGCTCCGCTTGGGACATGGCAGCAACGATATCAAAAGCAATTTAACACCGTGTTTGATGTCCTATAATGAGCATTTTCGGTGGTTCTGAAACTAGCTAATAGTAGAAAGTATGAATTAGTAAATAAAAGTACTATATCAGTTACAAACATTCAACAAGAACGCAGGAACTCGCAAACAAAAACGACGGAATGTCGATCTCTTACGGTCTGCTCGAAGACGTTAAAAGATTATGAAAGGAAATAAGGTGCCATTTTAGACAATTTGAACTAAGCATTGAAGCTAAAAAAGAAAATTAACTTCGTAGACGCAACCCTTGACCTCAACAATTACGCCTTCGATTATTAAAAAACTCACTCACTCGTGCATGTACTCAACAAATTGAACTTAAAAACCCATACAACTATTATATATATACTAATAACTAAATTAATATTCTTTATAGGTTTATATTTATTGGTTTATTTATACAATTGTTTTTATCGTAACCTGTATTTTAATTACTGGGAAGATTTTCTCGGTAATTGTGTCAATTTTCACAAAAAATTGTATGATTAATAATAATTTTTTGAATAAATGATCATACATAAAAGCAATATTAAAAGAAAAGCCATTGGTTTTAAACCTAACCTCGTATGAGAAACAAAAGCAAATTTTAAGAATATCACAAACGACGATCTAACTGAATCTTGAAGAGTTTCGGGATCACCCACCTCTTATTCTTTTATGTTCACTCTTTTTTGGGTTAGCATTGCTTAACGTTTCATTTTCAGTTTCATTTAAATCATCTACACTTTCTTTTAGATGAAAAGGAGATTCCAGGTGGCGCAAATTCGTACATGCAAGGACCTTACGGAGAGCATCCATTTCCAACTCATGATTAAAATCAATATTAACTGATTCGAGATATTTTTTAATTGTGTCAATGAGTTTGGTGCAATTGTTTGAAGTTTGTTATTGTCAAGCGTGAGGACCTTTATCTTTTTCAAAGCTGAAATTTCAACATCAATTTTTTTTTATTAGATTTCTACTAAGATGAAGCTTTTCAAGCCATTCCAAAACAAAATTCCTTTGGAATTGACGTCAGGTGACAATCTAGCATGGACAAATCTTTCAGATAGGTAAGCTTGTTAAAGTTCTCAAAATCATCGGGATGAAAACGGCAGTTGCTAAATGTGAGGTGGACGAGATTTTGGCACACTAAGTGATGAAAAATCGTCTGAGGAATTCCTGGAAGAGTGCTAAAAGATAATTTTGTTCTTTTCTACAGTAGCTTGTAGAATTGAAATAGGAAATTTAATGTTAAATGTATGGGCATCGATCTTCTTTCTGTTCTCTTTTGAAAGGAAATGAGCAAACCTTATAAAGTACATTTTGTTGTAAGAATCCAATAAATGAAGAAAAAATCCAAGATCTCCACATAATGGATCTATATCGGATAGCTGATCAAAAGATTGTTGAGGTAATTTTTTGGAAAAATCATAATTATTTTGTTTACGACACAATTGAATAGTCCTAAAACTTATCCAAAACACTATCATTCCACTCACTAATACGATTCCATCATAAATGTATACAATAAAAGACAAAGCCTGAGCTAGGCTATGAGAGCATAAGAAATAATCGTGAGGAATGGAAATGCTTTGAGTGAGTGTACACGTCATTGTGTCTTTTATATCTTTCAAACAATGAATAATATTAATGACGAAAAATATTATTGTAAGAAATACTTGAAGCACATTTCTGATAGTATAGAGACGTGAAATTGTGACATTGGGACGCGATGTGGCCATGTTTTGATCTAGTGTTTGTACTTTCTCATACAAACCCTTTAACGCACTAGTAATTGTACTGTCAGGAAGGGAATCTAAATTATAGAATTCATCGTTTAAGTTGCGAGTACCATCCTTTGGGATGCTCACATATCCAGGGGTTTTCTTATAATTTGACTGAAATAATGCAAAAGTGACTTCAAAATTAGGACACGGTGAATCGTAACGCGTCATCACAAGATCAACAAATGTTTCAATTACCGACGAAGTTAAAGGAATTTTCAACCAGAAATTGTCGAGAATGAAAAGCAATAATGCTTCAGCGAACAACACGATCCACAAATAAGCAAGGTAGTTTAGAATTACGCTTTTACTGCATTCTGAATTGACAAAACTTTTGTATAAACAGTTGATATTTTGATCTGTAACGACTTCCGTTCGTTCCGCAAAGCTTGTAGTCTGAGACCGGTAGTATTTTTTGCAAATACTAGAAAATATTAAATTTGCTTGTGGCCACGAGGCATTCGAAATGTTATTTGCTATGTTGCGACAATTGACAACTGAAACACATTCAAAACTGCCAGACGTTACCTCCAATCCAGCAACTAGAACAGCTATCATTGCCAAAAGTATCACTAAATAATCTTTTATAACCTCCCAGACAGATTTCAAAATCTTAAAATTTTCCTTCCCATTCTTCCTGAAATATTCCATGGACATCATCGTGATTAATTGATAAATTAATGAAGTTGGATTTTCAATTTTAAGTTAGCGTTCAGAAATTTGTCTGCTCACAGGAGTATAGTTATTTAAAATACACAAATTCTATTTTTTAGTTGCTAAGCAATTTTAAATTCACGTCCTCTACAGACATACACATTCATTTTCACACTTGCCATTTCATTAAAATAGCAAGACTTGTTGAGAGACACTGTAATAAAATCATATAGCTATAAATTAGTTACATATTTTCTTGTATCGCGATAATCTTTGAAAGAACAATTCAGAAATTTGAATTATAAAATAAAAATAATAAAACGTGTGTGGTGATTTGTTGTCACTGGCGCTAAATCTTTTTATCAGCAAATTATTTTGGTTATGAGCACATATGATATGTCGAAATATTAGGCACATGAAATGTAAAATTTGTTAGTAATTAATTTTGAATTAGAAAAAGTGAAGTGTGCAAAGAAAGATCATAGGGATGTCGTTCGATCACATGTTTAAAATAAGAAAAGCGACAGAGTGTTCTACATTCGATTTGAATACATGCACTCTGAAGGTTATGTCATAGCATGTTCTTAAAAACGTGCTAATGATGGTTGCAAGAAAGTCAAAAATGTATTCAAATCCATTGGCATGATGGTAGGGTGTGCAAAGATGCCATGGCCATTAGCCAGCTGTTGATACCAGTATGGAAAATAAATATAGGGCATTGGATTTTGAATTTGGCTTGCAAAGAGGTACTTAAACTTATGCAATTCAAAGTATTACATTGCTCAATATCTAAACTCTAAAAAAGAGGATATTTAAAAGTTTACTAATTTGAAAATATATATGGGGATGATTCTTCAATGATTTCATAGAGCTTCTCGCACGTCTGGTGTTCCGCTTGGACATGGCAGCAACGATGACAAAAGCAATTTAACACCGTGTTTGATGTCCTACAATGAGCATTTTTAACGGTTCTAAAACTAGCTAATAGTAGAAAGTATGAATTAGTAAATAAAAGTACTAATTCAGTTACAAACATTCAACAAGAACGCAGAAACTCGCAAACAAAAGCGACGCAATATCGATCTTTGACTCTCTGCTCGAAGACGCTTAGCCAGATTAAACTAAGCATTGAAGCTAAAAAAAAAAGTTAACTTCGTAGACGCAACCCTTAATATCAACAGTTACACCTTCAATTATCTATGAAAACTCACTCACTCGTGCATGTATTTTCCAAGTTGCACTTAAAAACCCATACAACTATTCTATATATACTAAAAACTGTATTAACACTCTTTGTAGGTTTATAATTGGTTAAGGAACCGACAGCTTTTACAACCTTCCAAGTCAGAGGAATAAAATATTTTTCTTCACACGGATCTTGTTGAAGCACAACAAGTGTTGACGTTCATACGAGAGAATCGTTCATGAAACATTCGAAAGTTGGTTGAATTTGGTGAAAATTATGTTTTAAATGTCTTTTGAATGTTAGTCTCCCCCCCTGACAATATTTTTATCAACATTTGAGTTATGTCAAATTGGTTGTAGTGTAAGGGTTGGGGCTGGGGTTAAGGTTAGGGGTTAGGGTTAGGGCTGGGGTTAGGTGTCTTCCATTCGATTATCTATGAAGAATTCCCTCACTCGTGCATGTATTTTCCAAATTGCACTTAAAAACCCATACAACGGTTATACATATACTAATAACTGTATTAACATTCTTTGTGGGTTTATATTTATTGGTTTATTTATACAATTATTTTTATCGTAACCTGTATTTTAATTACTGGGAAGATTTTCTGGGTAATTATGTCAACCTTCATTTTAAAAATTGTATGATTAATAATATTTTTTTGAATAAATGATCATAAAAAAGCAATTTTAAAAGAAAAGCCATCGTATTTAGACCAAAAATCCTATAAGAAACAAAAGCAAATTTTCAAAATATCACTAAAGACGATTAAAAAACTGTAACTTGAAGAGTTAATAATTATTAATTTTTTTTCCAAGAAACAACTTTTACATTTTCTTCTTATTTCTTAGTGGTAACCGCCTGTAGCTTTTCTAATTTGTTTCATTTAGCCAAATTTTAGCATTTTTCAGTAGATGAAAAGGACATACCAAGCTTCATAAGCTTCTACATGCAAGAATCTCACGAAGAGCTTCTATTTCTAAATCATCATTGTCGTCGATATCAAGGGAGTTAAGATTTGGCATTTGTGTCAATGAGCCAGGAGAAATTTTTTGAAGAGCGTTCTAGTTAAGTGAGAGGACTGATAGATTTTTCAAAGCTGCTATGTTAACATTAATCTCATTTATAAGGTTTAAATTAAGACGAAGTTTTTCAAGACATTCCAAAGCAAGAATTCCTCTCGGTATGGACTTCAAGCCACAGTTCACAATGGATAGGCTTTTAGTCCGATAAGCTTATCAAAATTTTAAAATCATCCTCTTCAAGAGTGCATTTGATGATATTTAGTGTCAAGAGATTTTTACATATCAATTGATCGAAAATTCCAAGCGAAATTCCTGGAAGGCTAGTAAAAGATAATGCCTTTTGTTCATCCAATGTTGTTTGCAGACCTGCAACAGGAAATTTTAATCAATGCATGAGCCACAATCTTCTTTTCGTCTCTTTAAAGAGGGAATGTACGAACCTTATAACGTACATTTTGTTGTAGGTATGCAAGAGATGCAAGAGAAATCCGAGGTCACCATCCACTGGAGAAATATCTGAAAGCTGACCAACAGTTATTGAAGACATTTGAGCGGAACAGTCATATTCATAATTCTTCAAGCGCAATTTAACTATGCAAATAATCATTAAAAAATATATAAATCCACTAACAGCCACAACTCCAAGACAAATATGAACGATACTAGACATAGAGGAAGCCAAGACGTAGGAGCATAAGAAGTACTCGTGATGGATGGGAATATGCTGAGCTAATTTATACCTCATTGTGTTTTTCATGTCCTTCAAGTAATTAATATTAATGACGAGAAATATTATTACTGAAGGTTATTGAAAAACAGCTTTTAAAGTATAAAGATTTGAAATTTTTTTAATGGGATGTGATGTTGATATGATATCTTTTAGTGTTTGCACTTTGTCGTACAAACCCATCAACACAATGAGGGGTGTATTGTCTGGAAGGAAATCTACATTGTACAATTGATCGTGATCAGTCAAGTCGACAGGGTTATCTATTGAGATGTTGACGTAGCCTTGGGTTTTATTGGAATTTGACTGGAGGAATGTAAAAGGAGCTGCAAAGTTTAGAAATGGTGAATTATAACACGCCATTACGAGATGAACAAATGTTTCTATTACCGACGAGATTAAAGGAAGATTTAACCAGAAATTGTTAAGAATCAAAAGCCACAACGCTTCAATAAATAAAATGATCCACATATTAACGAAAGAGTTTGTAGTTGCACGTTTGCCGCATTCAGAACTGACAAAACATTTGTACCCAGAGTGGATCTTGTGATCTGTAACGACTTCCGTTATTTCAATAAAGTTTTTTTTTGAGACCTATAGACGTTTGTACATATATCAAGAAATTTCATATGTGCATTTGACAAAAATACACCTAAATTTCATTTTGCAGCAAGTTGACATGATGCACGCAAGGTATTTTGGTATACTATGGCAGCTTTAAGACGTGCGGAAACTTCAATTTACATTCAATTGATTTTATTTTCATTTTGTGACAAGAATATTAAATTGAACTTGTTTTTTTCCTGTTTTGAATTGCACTTATTAATTATTCGTTTTAATTTTACTATTTCTATTCATTATTTCTTAGAAAAATTGAAAGGTAGCTTTTAGAAACCATACACTTTGTGTTGTCAAAGAGTAAGTCAACATTATATATTTAGTAATTAATTTACAGTAAAGCACCAAGTACAAAAATGAGCCAGAAACGTTTAATTTTGGTGACAATTATTTCAAAATCGTTATCATACATACAAAATCACGAGAAAATTGTTTTGATAACTTATCCCTCTTTCTCTTTTCTTCTGTTTAATCTTTTCAGAAATTTTCTTGAATGTATAATAGTTTAGCTTTTCTATTCAGTTCCATTTAATCCGTCTGTTACTCTTTCTGCCAGATGTGAAGGATATTCCAAGTGGCACAAATTCTTACATGAACGGACCTCACGGAGAGCGTCCTTTTTCAAATCATGATTACCTTCGATATTAAGTGATTCGAGATTTTCCAATCGTGTCAATGAGTTTGGTGCAATTGTTTGAAGTTTGTTATTGTCAAGCCTGAGGATCTTTATCTTTTCAAAGCTGAAATTTCAACATCAATTTTTTATTAGATTTCTACCAAGATGAAGTTCTTCAAGCCCTGCCAAATCAAGAATTCCTTTCGGAATTGACGTCAGGTGACAATCTAGCATGGACAAATCTTTCAGATGGGTAAGCTTGTTAAAGTTCTCAAAACTATCGGGATAAAAACGGCAGTTGCTAAATTTGAGGTGGACGAGATTTTCGCAAACAAATTGATCAAAAATCGTCTGAGGAACTCCTGGAACAGTGCTAAACGATAGTTTTTGTTCTTTTTCTACAGTGGCTTGTAGAAGTGAAACAGGAAATTTAATGTTTAATTTATGGGCATCGATCTTCTTTCTGTTTTTTTTGGAAAGGAAATGAGCAAACCTTATAACGTGCATTTTGTTGTAAGAGTCCAATAAATGAAGAAAAAAGCCAAGATCTCCACATTTTGGATCTACATCGGATAGCTGATCAAAAGATTGTTGAGGTAACTTTTTGGAAAAATCGTAAATATTTTGTGTACGACACAATTGAATAAACCTAAAACTTTTGTCAAACAGAAACGCTCCACTCACAAATAAAATCATAGTATAAACGGCTACAATAGAATACAAAGCCGGAGCTAGGCCATTAGAGCATAAGAAATAATCGTGAGGAACGGAAATGCTTTGAGTGAGTGTACACGTCATTGTGTCTTTTATACGTTTCAAATAATGAATAAAATGAATGATGAAAAATGATATTATAAGAAATACTTGAAGCACATTTTTTGATAGTATAG